ACAATTTTGAAATTTATAATGATAATTGAATATCTTCGAAGAATTTTGTAAAACAATTTTTAAATAATTTAATTCTTACTAAGAATTATGTTTTTTATGAAAGTAATTGAATTTTTGTCAAGAACTTTATTAAAAGTTTTAAAAATAATTGAATTTTTGCGAAGAAGCTTATGACAATTTTTGAAAATAATTGAATTCCTGCTAAAAATTTTGTTATTTTTGAAAATAATTGAATTCCTGCCAAAAATTTTGTTATTTTTGAAAATAATTGAATTTTTTCTAAAAATTTTGTTATTTTTGAAAATAATTGAATTCCTGCTAAAAATTTTGTTATTTTTGAAAATAATTGAATTCCTGATAAAAAAATTGTTATTTTTAAAAATAATTGAATTTATGCAAAAAATTTTATAAAATTTTTGAAAATAATTGAATTTCTGACAAAAATTTTGTTATTTTTGAAAATAATTGAATTCTTTCTAAAAATTTTGTTATTTTTGAAAATAATTGAATTCCTGCTAAAAATTTTGTTATTTTTGAAAATAATTGAATTCTTTCTAAAAATTTTGTTATTTTTGAAAATAATTGAATTCCTGATAAAAAAAATTGTTATTTTTAAAAATAATTGAATTTCTGCTAAGAATTTTGTTATTTTTGAAAATAATTGAATTCTTTCTAAAAATTTTGTTATTTTTGAAAATAATTGAATTCCTGATAAAAAAATTGTTATTTTTAAAAATAATTGAATTCCTGCCAAAAATTTTGTTATTTTTAATGGTAATTGAATTTTTGTCAAGAGCTTTATTAAAAATTTTGAAAATAATAAGATTTTTGGGAAGAATTTGATAATAATTTTTGAAAATAATTGAATTCCTGCTAAAAATTTTGTTATTTTTTAAAATAATTGAATTCCTGTTAAAAATTTTGTTATTTTTGAAAATAATTGAATTTCTGCTACAAATTTTGTTATTTTTGAAAATAATTGAATTTTTGCGAAGAATTTTATAAAAAATAATTAAATTCCTGCGTAGAACTTTATTCTTTATGATAATAAAAAAATTTGAATTTTGTTATTTATCAAGATTTTTGCTGTAGTTATTTATTATTTATGAAAGTAATGTAGTAATTACAAAGAAATTTAAAAAAAAATTTATAAATAATTGAATTCCTGTGAAATTTTTATTGTTCATGAAAATAGTTAAGTGCTTACGTAGAATTTTATTAATATTTTTTTTGAATAATTGAATTCTTTAGAAAATTTTTACTAAAATAGTAAATATTAAATTGAGGGAAATTTTTGTAAATAATTGAAATTTTGCTAACAATTGTTTTAAAATTTTTGAATATAATTGAATTACGGAGAAGAATTTTATTATTTAAATATAATTAGAATGTTGACAAGAATTTAAAAAAGTTTTTGAAAATAATTGAATTTATGCGAAGAATTTTATTACTTTTGAAAATAATTGATTTGATGAAAAAGAAAATATTTTTTATAACAATCAATTTTACTATTTTTTAATAAGTAACATTTTTTAACACGTTGAAAAAATGTTCATGAGTTAATGAAGAAGTCAATAAGTTTCTTAGTTAACCATTAATATTAATGGCTAATTTTATTCTTTATTAAGTGAATTTTTCATTAATATCAAAATTTTATCTAATAATTTTTTTTTTTTTTTTTTTTTTTTTTTTTTTAATAATACTTTTTAATTATGAGACGTTTCACGTCAAACAGCTCTAAGCTTTGTCCAAAATTCGAAGTAACTGAACTAAACACGTAGTGCCATGTAGAAGATACAGAATCCGCAAAAAGAAAAAATTCAAAATGGCGGCTCCAATATGGTGGTCAATTTTTTACTTTCCGAGTACTTTGACGATTGACGTGAAACGTCTCTTTTACAATTTTCTCATGATTTATTTACCTTTTTCAGATTTTTAATTCAATAAAGGAAAAGCAAATAAATCTTTCAACATTTCATTCTCCTCACAAGAATTCATTCCCTAATATATTTTTTATAGATTTATTTAGTTTACTATTTTAAAAATTTTTTTTCTTGTTTCAAAAATTAAGTTAAATAAAATTTTTAATTCAAAATTAAAATTTTTTTTTTTTTTTAATTGAAGTAAGTTTTTTTGTGCCAAATACACACAAGACACTCTCAGATTGGAAACGTATATATATGTCTCCTGTTTGCTTGTTGTAAGTAATAGGTGCGGTTAAAATAATATTACTTTCACAGAAACATATTAATGAGCCACGTGAAAAATATGATAAATATATTGTTATATTAAAAAAATAAAATAATGTGAAAATTTCTGGTGAAAAAAGTGTAGTTTAAAAAAAACGTATACATGTATAGATATAAGTTTAAAATTTTGATTTCGTAGTGGCATGCTTCTTCTCTTGATTTTTTTTTTTTGGCAACAATAAAATAATTGTAAAGATTGTGTATGGTATATTTAATTGGTTACTATGAGGATATTATAATGTACAAGGTAAACGAATAATTACGCACACGAAACAATGAATTAAGGTATGTACACAAAAGGGAGAAATATACAAAGACAGATAGGAGTATACATATATATGTTAAACGCCACTACAATAAATTTGTTAACTACGTGGAAAAAAAAGAGATTCTATTTTCAAAACGAAAATTCCTCTTCGACGATAGTTAAAATTAATTACTATAATCTAAGGAGTACTATTGTATTATATATAAACATATACTATATATAAATGTATATTTTTTGTTGAAGTGTCTCGAACTGTGCAGGTCACTGTATATGCCATATACGTATAAAAATAATAATAAATTATAACGCGTGTTTACAATTTTCTCTCTTTTATTACAAAACTCATATATTTTTTTATTTTTTTTTATTATTTATTTTTATTGTTCTTTATTTTATAAAAGTTTTAAATTTATAAGCTTAACATAAATTTTAAAAAATTAGAGGTGACATGTTTTCTTAATTTTTTTCATAAATTACATATGATTTTAAAAAAAAAAAAATTTACCATCATATAATGGAGAAATTTTTCTTTTTAAACCACTTAAAGTAAATAAAGTTTGGCTTAGGAAAAGTAGGAGAAATAATTATTTAAAAATTGACTTACAATGTCAATTGTTTCTAAGGAGGGTCATTTTGAAATTGAATGACCCATATGGGTCTGTCCATGCCTAAAAAATCAAAGTTGTCCCCTATTTCTTCGATTTTGTTGAAACTTCGAAATTTTGCAGTTGAATGCATGCCAGTAAAAAGCCCAAAATCGATTTTCGAAAAATTTTGAAAAAGTTTAGATTTAAGAGGTTTTTTTGAAATTTTTTTTTGAAATTTTGAAAATGATATATCTCTCAAAAAAAATTAACGAAATTTAAAGGATTTTTCAGGAAATGCTTATTATTTACTAACAATTTAAGAAAATATTTCTTCAAGAAAATACATTTTTTTAAACAAATTAGGTAATTAAAAAATAATTTTTAAATAAACAATTTTTTGAAAAGTGCAATTCTTTTTGCTTTTAATAAAAATGTTTCGATTCTCACTTATTTCAAGAATATTTTACAACAAAAATTTTGAAATGACGATTTACATTAAAAATAAAATTATAATTTAAACAATTCTGGAAAAGGTTAATAAATAAAAATGATAATTTGTTAAAAAATTGTTTAAATAATAATTGTACTTTTTATTTTTAATCTGTGTCTATATATAAGTTTAGTAATTGAAAAATTAGAAAAAAATTTATCTTCGTAGTGCAAATTGCGGAAAAAGATAGTAAAGAAGAATAATAATATTTGTTTAAAAGCTGTTATGACGAATTTATCTTTTGTTTAAATTATTATTCTTATTTACTAACTTTTTACAGAATTGTTTAAATTATAATTTTATTTTTAATCAGCTCAAAAATAAAAAATTCAACATCTTGCAGAGGTTTAGTCTTCATCAATTTTTTTTTGTAAAAATACTCGTGAAATAAGTAAAAATCGAAACATTGTTATTAAAAACAAAAAAAAAATTGCACTTTTCAAAAAAATGTTTATTTAAAAAAATTTTTTTTAATTTATTTATTTAAAAAAGTAATTTTTTTGACGAAACATTTTTTTAAATTGTTAGTAAATAATAAGCATTTACTCAAAAATTCATTACAATTCGTTTATTTTTCTTAGAGATATATGTATATCATTTTCAAAATTTAAAAAAAAATTGTTTAAAAAAATTTTAAAAACCTTTTTAAATCTAAACTTTTTCAAAATTTTTCGAAATCGATTTTGGAATTTTAACTGGCATGTATTCCACTGTAAAATTTCAAAAAGTTTTAACAAAATCGAAGAAGTAGGGGACAACTTTGATTTTTTAGACATGAACTGACTCATCTTTGATAATTATATATCTTATTTATGATAAGAATATTTTTAAAAATTAATAATTTTATTTTTTATAATTTTAAATAAAAACCGGCTCTTTTCAGAAGAAGTCCCTTTTAGAATTTTAAAGATTTAGTAAATATATTATAATATTAATATATTTAAATATAAAACATTTATAAAATTCATAAAATTTATGAACATTATTAAAATAAATTCTTTAATTTTCATATTCTAATCATCCTAATTTCTAAATTCTAATAATTTTTAACATTTAATAAATATCATAATAATAATTTTTATTAATGAACTATTTTTTAATGTTTTCAGTAACAAATTTCCTTCCTCAAAATTATCTTTCTAAAAATTAAACAACAATTATTTTAAAATGATATTTTCCTGTATTTAATATTACGAATATAAAATATTTTTTTTAATTTTAATAAAATAAAACTTGGGACTTGGTAAGTCTTTGAAATTTCAAAAAATTAAAGCGAAATGAATTTTTTATGCCAAATTGACAGAAATAAATAAAGGAAACCGCAAAATTCATAGTTTGGCATTGTCTACGCTCCTGACTGAGAAAATAAGATATGAATTCCACAAGGAAAGAAATTATGATGTATTTCGTCAAATTGTAAACAGTAGGATGAGTGAAGCATTCAAACTGAGTTGTGAAATGTGATAAATCAAATTGAGAATGGAATTTGACGAGGTTAAATATCAATTTTCTTTTTTGTAAACTAAATTAGTAAATTTAATTAATTATTCCAAAAAAAGTTCCAAGAAATTAAAAAATACAAATGAAAATATAAAACGATATTATTTTCCTCAATAAGAAATTTAACAAAGATAATTTTCACAAAATGTCTAAATACAATTCCATCTGACACTCGAATATTAAAAATTTATTCTGAGAATGACGATTTCAAGGGGTAAATCTTTGGGAAATACTGAGAATCGTTGTCGACAGTGTAAAAAATTGTTTTGCTGTTCAAATTGTCGATTGGCGCACGAGCAAAAAAATCATTCGCCCCAGGAAATAAAGTGTCCAATTTGCTGTTCGAAAAAACTCCAAATAAATGGAGATGAAAGTCACGAGTTCATTTGTCATTTAGTTTTTCATCATTTACCGCTTCTTTGTCGTCTGTGCGGTCAGTCGTTTCAAACGTGTGAAGATTTGAAAATTGTTCAAAAGTGCGGTTGGTGGAAAGAGGAGAATTCTCGTCGTGTGCTGAAAATTTTAGAAGATACTTTATCGCCGACAACAACGTCGGAATTAGACGTTAATAATTTTATTGATTCGTGCAATAATAATAGAAAAAGTGTTTCTCGGAGTAAGGAAAGAAGCGGCAGTCATCGTTTCGTGACATTGAATTCACCTCCGGTGTTGATTAGAAATACGAGCACGCCGATGATCAGCAGTTGTTTGAAAACGAATTTTGAATTGAGAAAATCAAATTCAATAAGTTTACATCTAAAAACGCCGAGGAATTTTTCCCCATCATTAGAAGATACGGAGACTCAACAATATTTGGATAACAACGAATTTCAAAAGTGCAATTCTGATTCTGTATTCAACAGTGGGCGATACAATTCCCAATCGAAATCGTTTATACAGGTATTTATCAGTTTATTTCTACTTATTTTAGAATTACACAAATTAAGTTTGGAAAAATAAATAAGTTTTAAAAAAAAATTGTTCTGATTTTTCTACATTGTATTGTTTCTACAATTGTAATGTTTGAAATTTTTTAATACAACATTCAATACTTTATACATTTAGAAAATAACGTTTTATTTGAAAAGTGAATTTTTCTTAGTAACAATAAATAAAAATTTTTAAAATAATTAAATTTATTAGAAACAAAATTTTATTCATAATGTACAAAAAGTACAACTCAAAACTTATTTTTGCTTTTTCTATTGTGTGCTTAGAATTGTTAAACTGTTAAAAATTATATTACTGAATTTAAAAAAAAAAAAATCACAAAAATATATTACTGTATGTACTATTTTTAACTTTGATTATCATTCTAAATAAGTAAATAATCAAATATCCATAAGAAATTGATCTTTTCAAAAATACATAATTAAATGTGAATAGAAAAATATTTTGTTTTGACAACAAAACATTTATTATTATTCTTATTGATTTCTCTTTTGTTGGACAAAAATAAAAAAAAAATTATTGTTAAAGCCAAATTACTACTAAATATATTTTACAAACTTATCGATTAAAATAACTTTATCAAGGTATCAAACTTATCGATTAACTTAACTTTATCAATTTATTTTTATCCTTAATTTTTAAAAAGATATTATTTACTCTCTTTATAGAAATTTTTTTAATTCAGACATAACTTTTCTAATTTTAATATTTTTAAATACTTTCTGTTATTTTTTTCAAAACAAATTTAAGTTGTTACAAAATATTCATTTTAAAAATTTTTTCTATTATTTTTTTAATGTCTTAAACTTTTTTTTAATATTTATTGAACCAAACTTCTGATAGATATTATTTTCTATTGAGCGGAAAAACCAGTAAAAAATTGAAAAAAAATTTAAATTAAAAAAAAATTAAAAATTTGTATATATATTTTGAGTAAAAGGCTAACTTCAAGAATATATAGAAATTCAGGGTTGCCACAGGTCAGGGAAATCAGGGAATTCAGGAAAAAGTCAAGGAAAGTAAAATTGATCAGGGAAATCAGGGTAAAGTCAGGGATATTTATTAAAGTACTGGAAAAAATTGAATTTTTGAGAAGTTACAACTGATTGCAAAAATTCAATTATTATTTTCAAAAGTAATAAAATTCTTCTCTGAAATTCAATTTTGTTCAAAAATTTTTAAAAATTCTCATCAAAATTCAATTATCTTTAAAAATAATTAAATTCTTCTCTGAATTTTAATTATTTTCAAAAATTTTAATAAAATTCTTTGCAAAATTTTAATTTATTTTCAAAAAAATTTTTCTCAATTCAATGATTTTCAATATCTTCTATTTTAATCAAATTTTTCAAAAGAATTCAATTATTTAAAAAAAATTGATGATAAAATTCTAAGCAAACATTAAATTATTTTCATAAATAATAAAAATTAATTTCACAGGAATTCAACATATTTACAAATTTTTTATAAATTTCTTCGCAATAATTCAGTTATTTTCATAATTAATAATATTTCTTACAAAAATTCAATTATTTTTATGAATAATAAAACTTAAAATTTCGCAATTATTTTTAAAACAATTTCAATCGAATTTCTCGAAAAATTTAATTATTCATAAAAATTTTATTAAAATTCCTCGAAAAAATTCAATTATGTTGATAAAATTTTTTATATGATAATTCAATTTCGAGAAACATTCATTTTATTCAATAAATTATTAATTTTTGTATTTAAATAATTAAATTCTCGTAGAATTTTCCAATAAAAATTGATTTAAAAATAAATATCATTTAAAATTTTATATATAATAATTAAATATTAAAATTATTATAGCATGAATTTTTAAAAATAATTGATAATTGAATTCTTTCGAAGAATTTACTTAAAATTGTATTAAAAATAATTAAAATACTGTGAAGAATTTTATAATTTATGAAAATAATGGAATTCTTACAAAGGAATTTTATCAATTTTTTTTTAAATAATGGAATTTATGTGAAAAATTTTATTATTTATGCGAAAATAATTGAATTCCTGGATCGAATTTTATTACATTTTATTTCAATAATTAAATTCTTTTGCGAATTTTTATTAAAATAGTAAATTTTGAAAATTTTTTAATTTCAGCGAAGTATTTCATTATTATGTGAAATGTAATTTAATTCTTGCAAAAAATTGTTAAAGATAATTTTAGAAATTTATTTAAAATTTTATTAAAAATAATTGAAACCCTGCGAAGAATTTTATTATAATTTTTGTAAATAATTTAATTTTTTTTTGAAAAATTTTTTTAGAAACTTAAGTTTTTATAAAACATGAAAATATCAATTACTCCGAGTCGAAGACTCGGAGTGATTGATATCTTCATGTTTTATAATAAAAAAATATTCTTATAAAGTTATTGAATTTTAAAAATGTTAGATTTTGAATGCTTTGAAGAATTTTAATTCCTATGGAAAATATTTTTTGAGTATCTAATAATTTTTAGAGTGAATCAGAATATTCTTTAGGGTCAGAGAAAAAGTTAAAATACAAAAAATAAAAAAATAAATTCTTTTTTTTTATTTTTTTTTTAGTTAAAATTTTGTCTAGAAATCAGGGAAAAGTCAGGGAAAAATAAAATTAATTTTTTGTGGCAACCCTGAAATTTTTATAAATAATTTTTAAAAAATAATCAAAATTTCAAAAGAAGACAAAATTTTCATTTTTCGAAAATTTTGAGTTATAATTTTGAAAAAGAACATTTTATGCAACTCAGGCGTATTATGATCACTTTATCTACCTGTATAGTTGCATATTAAGTTCCTTCTTATAACCCTGCGGTTAATAAAGTGCTCATTATTGCCCTAGGGCAGTAAAGTACTTATTATTATCCTGGGGCAATAGTGGCCACTTTATTGACCACCTGGGTTTTTGGGGTCGCTAATTATGAATTTGATGTCAAATTTCAGAAATTCAAAATGTCGGATTCAATATGTCGGACAAGATTTATAAAAATTCATTGGATTCACTTAAAACTCGTTACTGAGAGGTTTTTGGGGTCATTAATTACGAATTTGATGTTAGATTTCAGAAATTCAAAATGTCCGATAAAAGTAAGATGTAAATAATAATTTTTACAAAAATCGTCTGCCATATTGGGACCCCATTTTGAATTTCTGAAATCTGACATCAAATTCGTAATTAGTGACCCCGAAAACCCCCGAGTAACGAGTTTCAAGTGAATCCGATGAATTTTTATAAAACTCGCCCGCCATATTGGGTCCGCCATTTTGAATTTCTAAAATCTGACAGCTGCAGCGCAAGATTGCTTTAAACTTAAATTGCTTTAAATTTTTATTGTGCAATTAGTAACAAAAATTGTTAGAGAATTATTTTCATTACATCATAGTTGATTGATCTATATCTCAAATTAAAAATTAAACTAATAACAAAAATTTTCTATAATATCTGTATTTGAATGAATTTAAATAAATTATAAATTAAAGATCACTTTTTTAATTACAGAGCGGCAGTTCCGAGTATTACACCTGCGACCAACAGGACTCTAGAAGAAGATTGTCTTCACTATCGAAGGTTGAAGAGTTTTCGGAACCTCGAAGTCGAATAAAAAAGGAAGTAAAACAATTAAAGAAAACAGTCCGATTTTCCGACCGATTCTCCCAGGAAATCGAAATGGCCGAGTACGAGGAATTCTTCGAAGCTCAGGAAAGTCTCTCCGAAATATCACAAAAATTCCTCGACGACGACGACAAAGAAATATCAGTCAATCACGTTGAATCAACATTCGACGACAGTGACAATCGCGACAATAGAATAAATTTCGAAAAGGAAAATAAAATCTTCCTAGAGGAGAGCAGTATTTATACAGAGGAAAATAGAGGACCGTCGGAAAGTAATAGCGCTTCGGAAAATATTTCCCTAATGATCAGGAATGTTCACTTAAATGACAATAATGACAATCGATTGGAAGGCGTTGTAAATGCAAATAGTTTACAAAAGAAAATGTATTCAATGAAAAACGTCTATTTAAAAGAAAATGTCAATTTTTTTAACGAATCAAATGTTTATTCTCAACCGAACGAAACGAGCGACGATGAGAATAAAGAAAATGATCATTCTGATTCATCGAAAGGAAGTTCGAAAATCTCTCAACAAGCCGAATCTTCTCAAATTGTCATGATGGTCGTCGTGAATAATGCGTCACGATTTTCAAGAACAGATCTAGTGCCTCTAATTGATTCGGAACTGAAAAAATTAGAGGAATCATCATCGATGAGCACTGTTTACAATTCAATATCAAGTCAATCGTCATCTCAGGAAGAAAAATATTCAGTGACTAATTCTCAACTCAGAAGAAAATCCACAACCTCAGTCAACAGTTATTTCTCCATCGCGAGTACCGAATGTTTCTCAACGCAAAATGATTCTGCCTCAAGTAACGAGAAAGAAAATACCACCTATGAAAATGAGGAATCTTCAAAATCCGATGGAATTCTTTCGGCAATGGCAAGAGTCGTGAGAAATGCTTTAAAAAAATTACCAGGTAGATGGTTTTTCTACTTAATTTGTTGTGGAGCTCACGATTATAAAAAGAAATATTCCTACCAGAGAATTTAATATAATATCAGAATATTGTGGAATACTCATAAATTTTATAAATTATAAAGGGATTATTATAAAGGTATTATTACAAAGGGACTAATTACGAAGGGAATTTTATCGTTGAAAATTTGAATTTTGGCATCTTTTAATTCGTAGAATTTTTATTCATCTAATTTTTTTTACTTACAAATTGAAATTTAAAAACATGACAATTATGAGGTATATTTTAAAAATTCTAACATTATTAGGTATACTTTTTTTTAAGTATTGAAAAATGCACGCATATCAAACTTTATATAGTAAGTTTACGTTATTTTTATTAAAAATAATATTTGAAGAATGTTCAATAACTAACCAAGTACTTATGTGTAGAGTAAAATAACGAAATAATAGTAAACGCAAATAGTTTAAATAAAGTAAAGTATTTTTTGGGAAAATGTGAATTGTATTTTGAAATAAACTAATATTTAGGTAATTTAAATATTTTAGTATTACATATAAGTAAATTTTGAAGGTTTCTGATGCCTTTACTCCTTCAAATTATAAAAATTTTTTTACTTTTTTCTAAACATTTTTGTCTTGTAATGTAAAATATTAATAGTAGAAAATTTTTTTATTTAAAATTCTAGGTAAAATATTGAAAGTCAGAAAGTTGTACAATTTAAAAAAAAAATAAAAAATTAAACAAAAGCATTTTTCGAAAAATAGCAGCAAGCAGAGTAAGACGTTGAAATAATAAATTCTGCAATAGAAGAAAAATTTGCAAAAAAAATTTTGTTAACGAAATCAAGAAACACCATTTTTATATTCATTGACCTTTTTTAAATTACAAATCAAAAAGAAAATAGTAATAATAATAAAACTATTGCGTATTTCTAAGTTTTTAATAATAAAGAGACCTACAAAGTGGTAAATTTTTTATCCACGCTTTAGAAAACTTTTTCTGTAATCAAATAGTTTTAAGAGATAACATTTTTTGAAGAAAGTGACAAAATAGGTAGTTCAATTTAAAATATTTTTATAAAATATCAATTATTTTTTAGGAAAAAACATCAAACTTATTTTGGCCTCATGTCAGTAAAGTCAGGGAAATGCCAGGAAAAAAAATTTTTTGTCAGGAAAATTACAAAAGTTAAGAATTTTTTTTGACTTATTTTCAAAAATTACGACTTTTTTTTATTCTTCTTCCAAATATTGCAACAAAATATCACAATTTTTAGTAAAACAAAGTGCAACTATAAACAAATCTTTCGAAAATTATTTTTGAATCATTTTTTAAGATAATTAAATTTTGCAAATATATATCTATAACAAAAATCTTCTAGAATAATTGAAATTTTGTAAAATTTAATTAGAAATAATTGGTTTTTTTCAAGTATTTTTTCATAACTTTTTGAAAATCAACTTTTGAAGAATTTTAATTGAAAATTTTGAAAAAAAATTGAATTATCAAAAATGTTAATGAAAAATCTTTAAAAGTAAATTGAAAAATGAAAATTAATGGAAATTAGCTTCTAATTTTTTAACATTCAATATATTTTCAGTATTTTCAATTACATATTTCCGGAAATTAAAATACATATTACAAGAAATAATAACATTTTAGAATTATTTTCAACATTTTGAAGAAAAAAATCTTGTTTAAAATTTTTAATTCTTTTATTTATTCTTTTAAGAAATTCAGCTAATTTTGAAAAATTTCATTAATATATTTTTAAAAACTAATTCTTAGAATTGTTTTATCGTAATTTTTTAAGATTTAATTATCTTAGAACAAAGTAGATAAAAATTTATAAAAATTAATTTTTTTGAAGGGCACTTTTACTATATTTAAAATCAATGCTGCAAGTGTCCTTTTAAGATCCGGAGCCTTAATTATTAAAAAAGTATTATCTAATTCAAAAATTTTTTTTAAAATATTTTAAAAAATGAATTGTAAGAATTTCTTTACTATATTAAAAAAAAACATGGACAGTTACAATTATTATAAAAAATTGAGTTATTTGTATTTATATATTTAATTCTTGAAGAACTTTCGGAAAATTATATAAAATAATTAATTTCGAGATGAAGTTTAATTGAAAATTGTAGAAAATAATTGAATTTAGCTAGAGTCATAATTGTAAATTTGAGAAATTATTAAAATTCATAAATTTTATTCATATTCCGTAAAATTTTATATTTTTTTGTAAAAAGAATTTTGTCAGGGTAAACTTTCAGCTGCAACGATTTTAAGTGTCAAAGAAAGTCATGTTAGGTTTACGTGCTATATGAAACTAAAACAAAATTAGCAATTTTTTAAATTGAAAAAATTATAAATAAGTCAAAATTATAATTTTTTAAAATATTAATTTGATGAATTTGTCAAGGCATTACTTAATTATTATTGCACTTAACAGTAAATTATGAAAATTTGTTATTGGTATTGGACTTTTGTAAACTTTTATGTAATTATATATCTATATGTTCATAAATGAGTACTTACATCATTTTCAATATGTACTTTACTGATAAATAAATTGTCCTTTAATTTTTAAAAACTTTATAATTTAACCCTTTAAAGCGGTAAATAGTGAACCATTTACTTAAGTTTTAACATTTATATATTTTAAATTAACAAATAACGAACTTCCATGCATCAATTTTGTGAAATTTTGTTTCCGTTTATCAAACAAAAAAATGGTAAATTTTTGAAAATTAATAAATATTTTATTGATATATAAAAACAATAATTATATAGTCTGCAATAACTAATAGTCTTATCTGCAAAATGTTTCAAAGTAAAAGTAAAATTTTTAAAAAGTAAAATTTTTCATAATTAGTTAGGTTCGACTAAAAATTTTTATTTCGGGCTTTTTAATATCGTTGATTATAATTATAATATTAGTTTTTCAACATTTAAAATGGCGGATCCAATATGGCGTTTGTTAAAATTATTTTTTTCGTGAAATTGCCGCTGATTACAAATCCAACTTTAGTTTTTTAAAAATTCAAAATGGCGGATTCAATGTGCCGGAAGCGAAAAATTAAATTTCAATCAGATTCGTTTGAAACATGTTTTTTCTTCGTTTTTTTGGACCGCTGATGTTTAATAATGATGATTTTATCACTCAGTCGTCAAATAATTCAAAATTGAAGTTAACTTTAATTTTTAATCAATTTTCTTTAATGAACGTTAGATTCGTAAACAGCAAACTTAAAAACTACCGAATAACATAAGTTTCAAGCGAATCACATTGAATTTGCTTCAAAGCCAATCGAAAAATAAAATACTCCAAAAACGAAAAAAATACAAAAAGTACTTATTTTTCATCATTTATATTAGAATAATTAATTATATTAAAATATTGGAAAAATGTAATAAATGTTAATGTTAATAATGTCAATTAAATAGATTTTGAGTTTATAATATATCCATAAATAGATTTATTTATTTATAAAATTTTTTTTTTTATTTTTTTTTTAAATTAATAAAATTTTGTTTTTAAATTTTTAAATTTTTTCATCTTCTAAAATTTTATTTCATATTCCAGGAGGGAGTATATTACAAGAATCAAGTGAATCCACAATTGAAAAATCAAATTCATCTTTAGCGGAATCAACATCAGAAACATTGTCATTATCATCATCGACGAATTCACCACCGAGTTCTGATCAAAGTGTAAATAATCTTACAAGTAAACGACCCAGAGATGCAGTATCGCATTCTACAATAATTCCCAATCCCACTTTACCCAACGAAGACAGAAGTCCAATTGCAAAACGCCAACGTGGATGGTATAAATATAAAGTAAGAGCTAGACCTCCAATAGCTCGAATGAGGAAAATTCAAGTCACATCGCCCAAAGGAATTTCTTCCGAAACACAACGGTTTCAACAAGGCTCTCTTTCTGTCGGAAGACTAAATACCATCATTCCTCTTCCCTCCAGAGCACACCAATGCACTCAAACGGAGAAATAAAATTTTTCCCTAATTTTCCCAATTGAATTCTAAATTGTGATTTAGATTTCCCATATTTTTCTCTCTCGACAATATTTTCTTACGTTTTTTTTAACAAAAAAAAGAGAATTATATTTTTGCATGCATGCCTTTTGATAATTTTGGAAAATGAAAATAATTAGTTTTACTAAAGTATTCTGTGAATTGGAATTGAAAAAAAAAGTTTTAAAAGGGAAGATTTAATATTTAAAATGTTAAACTTAACTGTGTGTTTCTTTATAAGCATAAAATATTTTTGTAAAATTTTGTAATTATTTTATTTCTACGTACAATAATTTATATTATTAAATATTTGAACATATGTTATTAAATTACTTGGACGTTAAAGATTTGATTATTATATAAAACGATTTCGTCAGAAATATTATTTATTTGGAAGAATTTCTTTTTGATCAAAAAAAGTAAAATAATGCAGCAAATCAAATGACAAATTGAAAACTGATAATTATATTTATAAAAAACTTGCATTAGTCACAAAAGAATGTTAATAAAAATAAATTTATTCGTGAAACGTTTTTGAGTTTTATTTTATTACGCGAGAAATTTATTCATGAAAATTTAAATTTACAGAATTTACTTATCAAGAGAAATTTCATTTTTGACGAAGCATATTCTGTTTGTAAAAATTTTATTCACGTTAACAATATTAATATCCAGAAGTAAAAAATATTAAGAAAATTTAAAACTTCTGGAGATTATCAAGAATAGGCGACATTTTAATTTTTAATAGAACAAAAGGAAAAATTCTTTTTAATTAAAAAAAACTTTTTTAAGCAATAATAAAAATTTAATTTAAAAATACTTTATTAATTGAATTTGAGAAAAGGTATTAAATGTTTATAGAATATTAAAAGCGTGACAAAATTGCGTTTACATATTTTCCGTTGGTATATTATCATTGTAAAGATATGTTTAATATGAAAATATTTAAAAGCGGAATTTTCTGTAATTTAAAAAGTTTTCCCTTGAAATGCTAACATTAAATTTGCCAAAATGAGTAGTATTAATGTTATGGAGAATCAAAATATAATTCCCTGTTGTTATAAACGTTTTCACAGAATGGTGGGTGTGATTAGAAAGTGAATAAACATACAATTATTTTCTCCACTATTATTCAGAAATTCTAGGCATTTGTGTTCGCAAAGCAGAATGTCAATGACAAATTTCTCAATTTCAACTTCACGAAAACTTCTGATAACTATGGAGAGTCAATACTTCAGTTTTTATTTCTGGAAACAATTTTTTTTTGACTTTTCATCATCACTGAAACTTATACAATTAGTTTTCTATATTACCTGGTCCAGGAAAAGGATCATCAATATTTTTTCACGGTCAAATTTCATTAGTATTATTTTTAGGTTAGAAATTTGATAAAAATATATTTTTCCAGTTGATGACGCATCGTTTTGTAATAAAATATACTTTACAATGTTTTCGAATTGCTTATTTAATCCGTTGAAAATGAAACCGCACATAAATGAGGAATTTGATGAGGCAATTGAAAATGATTTATATGATATAGAAGATCGAGCTAATAGAGAAGAAAGCATCTTAAAATTAAATGAGATTTTGCGTCAATTTTACATCTTTCATCGATTAAAGTCAATTCAGATCTGCGAACAACAACTGGACTATAGAAAAAAATTAATGAAATGAAAGTGACGCATGGTGCACTTTTAAAAAACGTTTTTAAATTTATGGAACCAAATACGTATCAGAATGATGTGGAAGAACAATTCTTGCTTTTTAGGACTGTGTAAATCTTGTCCTGGAGTAAAATCTGTAATTGAAAATGAATGCAAAATTTTCGAGACTCATTTTATCGAAAAAAATTATTACTTACAATAAATGAATGTCAACAGATCGTACATCGCTTGAAACCATCAGTGTGTCTGCTGAGAAATATTTAGAAGAACTTTTTGAACATTTACTTGATCCGCCAAACGTCAAAGCAAATTTCTTAAAGAAAGCAAACAAAATCTTGAAGAAGGTTAGTTTATGATATATTGTTCGATTTTGCTCAGAATCATCAGGCCGTTATTCAAAAAGCAGTTCAAAGTGAATATTAGAACAACAAACAGATAACAATTCATCCCGCTGTAATTTATTAAAAGAAAGATGACAAAAGCGAATGGAACAGTTATGCAATCATTTCTGAAAATTTGGAACATAACACAAACGCAGTTCACCTGTTCATGAAAAAAAAAATCATTGCTGATCTGAAGAAAAATCATAATGTCAAGAAGATACTTTACTTCACTGCAAAAAGAAATATCTTAAAATACATTGTAGTCCACTTTTAAGATATTTAAAACATCTTATTTTTCCATCTTCCATGTTTTTGATAACTTTTTCGAAACAACTTAGAAGTGACTACAATATAGTATCTTAAAATAAAATGCCTTCTTTTTACAGTGATCACTGATTTTATTATGTTCTCTTTAATTTTCTAAAAAAAAATTGATGCTTGATTCATCAAAATCGGTTGAAATCTGCTCGAGATATAAAATAATGAAAAAAATGTAGCATCAACATTTAAAGTAAGAAAAAATTTTAAAAAATTTAAATTGTAGGAGTATATTTATTATGTTTTAAACATTCCTTTTCCTTATACTAATTTCTCTCATAGTATACTATTTTATTTAACCGAATTGAATTAAAATCTATACGAACCGCTTTTGCAGGATTGTGATATTTCTGACGTGGACTCACCCTTGAAATAATGTTTCCACTAATGGTATATACCTACGGAAATATCAACACGTGTTGATCGTTAATAATTTTTATATTCTGATATATGTAATTTTCCTACTTATTCTATAGTCTTTTACTAATAAAGTTCACACCAATATACTGTATACAGCATATATGTACATATATGTGACTTACGACATCTTATATTCCACACTTTTGGTTCATAATTACTTTTAACATCAGCACGTTATTTATTTAATTCGCTGAAAGAAAAGGATGTTAAACTCATTTCTAGATTTTAATATTCGATTTGAAAAATACATTAAAATTAATTAGTGTTCATTTTATTTTTATTTAATGTTGTAGTAAAATTGCATTAACATAATTCTTTTTTTGAAATTTAATTGAAATTATGCAAAATTTATGAGAAGAAATGTAAACAAATTTCTTTATAGTGAAATAGTAGTAATGAAAAAAGTCACATTTAAAAAATAGGTATAGAATCAGTGTTTAAAAAAGAAGTTCTGAGAAATTGAATATTATCACAGAAGGTTATTAGGTTCTGCATGAAGAATAATAATTATTTTATAACTTTCCTTTATGGCTGAATGCCTACACCTCTAAAGGTCAAAAAATATTTTTATGATTATAACAAAATGGAAATAGATAGTTTACCTTTCAAATCCCTTCTGTTTTTTTAATTATTAATATGTAAATTAATTTCTTTTACAAATTTTTGGTATTTTTTTTTTATTTATTATTTTTTTTTTTATTTTTTTATTTTTCAGAATATGTATTTATAAGCAATATGAACCAAATTTTTATCTGAATAAACAAAACTATATTTAAACGTAACAAATAAAATTCCAGTTCAGTCAAATTCTGATGAAAAATGAGGAATATTCGTATACCTAATTTGTATGTTAATTAAATATTTTTTCAAATAAATCAATTGGTTAAATTAATATTGAGTGCTTGCTTGCGATTGATTAATAGTTTTAAACAATGACACGATAGATTATAAACGTATAGTTACCAATATATAAATTGTAGCTTCAAACTGATAATAGTTTTAAAGAATCCTACTTTCGTTTTATGGCAATTTTAATAATTATTATGAGAGTTTGAAGAATGCGAATGTCAGTTCCCAACAATTTTACACTTTCATTTAGTGAAAAGTTTTAATAATTTTAATGTATGGGAAAATTTTAAGAATAATAATTTTAATTAATATTAATTCTTTTCCTTACATTCAATATAATTTCTTATTTTTATATTCCCTTAATCAATATTATTTGCCTAATCATCATTACTCTCTATTTCTCTTCGTTCTAGTCGTTAAAATATTTCCTATTTCTAATTCTGTCTAATATAGATGATGTTCTTAATTTTAATTATTTTTTTGATATGTAGATAATTGTTTAGTTTATCTATTTAATATAACACGAACACATAAAAAAATTTATGTTCTAAGCATTTTTCATGGAAATTCAATTTTTAAAAAAAAATTTTGAAAAAATTCTAAGCAAGAATTCAATTATTTTTATAAATAATAAAACTCATCGGAGAATTTCAATTACTTTTAATACTATTTTAAATTAATTAATCGAAAAATTCAATTAATTTTACAAATAAAGTTTTCTACAAGAATTCAATAATTATTTAAAATAAAATTTTCATAATATTTATTATGTTTCGAAAACATTAATTATTTAAAACAATCTTTATATAAAATTCTTATGAAGAATTCAATTATTTTTAAAAATAACAAAACTTTTCAGAGAAATTCAATTCTTTTTAAACATTTTAATAGAATTTTCCGCAATAATTCAATTATTTTCATAAATAATAAAATTCTTCTCAGGAATTCAATTATTTTTGAAAATTTTAATAACATTCTTTGCAACTATTCAATTATTTTTATAAATAACAAAATTCATCGCAGGATTTTAATTATTCTTAATACAATTTCACAGGAATTGCTTAAAAATGTAATATTATTAAAAATTTAATTTCAATTCCTCAAAAAAATCAATTATTTCAAAAAATGTTTTTTTTTAATTTTTTGGAAAAATTCAATTATTTACAAAACTATTAGAATTTTTCACAGGAATTCAATTATTTTTAAATATTTTAATAAAATGGTTAGAAAGAAATCAAGTATTTTAACTACAATTTAAATTAATTTTTTTTTTTGAAATAATTCAATTATTCTTTCAGGTTTCAATAAAATTCTTCCCAAGAATTCAATTATTATTTACATACCTATATAATTCTTCGGAAGAATTCAATTATGTCGATAAATAACAAAATTATTCCCGGAAATTCAATCATTTTGAAACATTTTGAAAAAATTCTCTGCAAAATTCAATTATTTTCATAAATAACAATATTCATCACAAGAATTTAATTATTTTTAAATGTAATAAATTTCTACTTAAAATTTCAATTATTTTTAAAAATTCTAATAAAATCGTTTGAAAGAATTCAATTATTTTCAGAAATAAGAAAATGCTTTTTAGAAATGCAATTATTTTCAATATAACTTTTCAGGAATTGCTCAAAACATGTAATTATTCATAAAAATTTGTTTCAATTCCTCAAAAAAATCAATTATTTAAAAATATGTTTTTTTCAAATTCTTTAAAAGAATTCAATTATTTACAAAAATATTAGAATTTTTCACAGAAATTCAATTATTTTCAAATATTTTAATAACATTGTTCGAAAGAAATCAATAAAAATAAATCTTTAAATACAATTTTAATTAAATTTTCATGAAATACTTCAATTATTCTTTTAGATTTTAATAAAATTCTCTGCAAAATTCAATTATTTTTAAAAATTCTAATAAAATCGTTCGGAAGAATTCAATTATTTTCATAAATAATAAAATGCTTTTTACGAATTCAATTATTTTTAAAAAAATTTAATAAAATGCTACACAGACATTCAATTATTCTCAAAAATTTTAATATAATTCTTTGTAAAATTTAATTTATTTTAAACAACTTTTCGCATTTAAATGATTTTCAATATTTACTATTTTCATAAAATTTCCAAACGGAATTCAATTATTTAAAAAATTTGTTGTACAAAATTTTTCGTAAGGATTCAATTTTTTTCATAAATAATAAAAATTTCTTAGGAATTCAATCATTTAAATAAAAAATTTGCATATAAAATAAGTCGAAGGAAATCAATTATTTAAAAATTTTTTATAAAATTCTTCGCAAAAATTAAATTATTTTTATAAATATTTAAATTCTTTGCAGGAATTAAATTTATTAGCAGGATAAGAAAGAAGTAAATATTTTTTTATGAAAATTAGAAAAATGTCAGGAAAATAAAATATAGAATGAATTTTTTGTCAGTTTTCGGAGTTTTATTGGTAGTAAAGTTTAATTTTTGCAATAATTTTAGTCGGCGTGGTTTTGTTTTTGACAAATGAATCATTAAATAATAAATGATGTTAAAAAAATAAAAAAAAAACTTTTTTTCAACTTCAAAAAGTTGAGAATTTTATGGATAGATTAATGATTAAAGTCTTTACGTGAATAAGATGGATCGGTTATTTTTGGTGACAGAGGAAAGGATGGGCCATGAAATGATATGAATCGTATTCATCAGTAGCGCTTGTTGATCTAAGATTTTGAAAATTTTGTGAATGCAGATTAGAATTATGAGAATAATGTAAATATTTAGGTGATGTAGAAGGTATTGAATGATTATCAATCTGTTCTTGATATTTAGATTGCACGCCAAGTTGTAGTTGAGGCTTAGGATGAAATTGAGTTTGAACCTGAGGATAGGATTTAGATTTCATGTGATGTAGGTTTTGAGGATTAATAGAATCATGTTGAGATTGCGAACGAGGTTTAAATTGATTTTCATTTTCAGATGTAGGATTATATTGAAGTTGAGATAGTGGTCGGATTCGGAGTTGAGAATCCGATGAAGGTTGAGATTGATGTCGTTTTTGAGGTTTAGAATCAAATTGATCTTGAAAGTAAGGTTGATTTTCTTGTTGAGATTGCGGACCAGATCGACCAGATTGAAATTGATGTTGTTGAAAAGTATTTGTTTTTAGAAGTCGTTCCTCACTTAATTTCACTTTTTTTATACTCTGCTCGCTTTGTCTTACGTGTTGTCTTTTGTTGGAAGCAACTCTATTTATGACACCGATATAATCGGATTTTGTCAGCAATACACCGTCATTTGATGACAAACGTCTTGCCCATTCTAAATGATAAATTTAATTGATTAATTTAAGTATACGTATGAAATTAATTAAATAAAGAGATATTACCCAACAACCATAACTGACTGTTAACCTTTTGTTAGGTAATTACTAGAAACTTACCAAAAGTTGTGTGAAATAATTGGTAATTAATAGGTGGCCGACCATTAGCCCTCTTTCCAAGTGCACTATATTTTGATATTTCTGATCCGTAAATTGCTAAAAGTGTTAAGCGTACTAGTTTTTTCCAATCAAATTTTCCATTAGTGTAGGATGTAGCCTCAATATAAGCTTTAGTTGATCTTTCGATGTAAACGCCTGACCCTTTGATTATTTCAACCTACAAAATGTACATTGTTTAGTAAAGTATTCAATACAATAAATCAGGGTTGCTACATGTCAGGGAAAAGTCAGGGAAAGTAGAATTGATCAGGAAAAAGGGAAAAAAGTCAGGGATTTTTATTAAAGTACTGGAAAAAATTGAATTTTAGAAAAGTTACACATGATTGCAGAAATTCAATTATTTTCAAAAGTAATAAAAATCTTCGCTAAAATTCAATTATTTTTAAAAATTTGTAAAAACTTTCGTCCAATTATCTTCAACATTAATAAAATTCTTCTCCAAGATTCAATTATTTCCATAAATAATCAAATTTTTTACAGGAATTCAATTATTTACAAATTTTTTTTATAAATTTCTTCGCAATAATTCAATTATATTCATAAATAATAACTTTTTTTTACAGAAATTCAATATTGTTTATATAAATAATAAAATTCTTTTAGGAATTATTCTTAAAAATTTTATTAAAATTCGTCCAAAGAATTTAATGATTTAAAAAATTTTTGATAAAATTCTTTAAGAGAATTTAAATTTTGAGAAACATTCAATTACTTAATAAAAATTATTTATTTTTGTATTTAAATAATTGAATTCTCGTAGAATTTACTAATAAAAATGGTTTTAAAAATGAATTTCAGTTAAAATTTTAGATTATAATTAAATTTTAAAAGCATTATAACTTGGATTTTTAGAAATAATTAAATTTTGAAAAAGTTTCAAATTAAAATCATTGAAATTCTTAATTTTTCATATTTTTTATATTTCATATTTTTCATATTTTTTTTTAATTCTGTAATTCTTTTTTAAAATTTAATAGGATTTTTATTTAAATTATTTCAAGTTTTTATTTTTCAATAAATATTTAATTGCAGAATTCCCGAATAATTGAAATTTTGTAAAATTGAATTCTAAACGAATGAATTTGAAAATTGTCAGAGAACTTTTTTAAAAATTATTAAAAATTATGGATTTATTGAAGAATTTTAGTTAAAAACACTAGAATAAAATTTAATTTTAGAGAAGTTACAAATTATTGCAGAAATTCAATTATTTTCAAGAGTAATAAAATTCTTCTTAAGGGCATATTTGAACCATTATGACGTCACAATGTGTGCAAAGCATGAGTTTTAAAATTGTGACGTCATAATGGTTCAAATGCCCTTAAGGATTCAATTATTTTCATGAATAATAAAACTCGTCATAGAATTTCAATTATTTTTAATACAATTTCAATAGAATTTCTCGAAAAATGTATAATTATTCTTAAAAATTTTATGAAAATTCGTCAAAAAAATTCAATAATTATTTAAAAATTTGTTGATAAAATTCTTTATGAGAATTTAAATTTTGAGAAACATTCAATTACTTAATATAAATTACATATTTATTTTTGCATTTAAGTATATGTAATAAAATTCTCGTAGAATTTTCTTATATAAATTGAATAAAAATGAATTTCAGTTAAAATTTTAGATAATTTACTTAAAATTGTATTAAAAATAATTGAATTCCTATGAAGAATTTTATTATTTAGGAAAATAATTGAATTCTTGCAACGAATTTAAAAAATTTTTTTTTTAAATAATTGGAATCCCGTGTAGAATATTATATATTTATGAAAATAATTGAATTCTTACAAAGAATTTTGGTATATTTTTTTTGTAAATAATTGAAATCCTGTGAAGAATTTTATTATTTAGGAAAATAATTGAATTCTTGTAACGTATTTTATTACATTTTCTTAAAATAATTGAATTATTTTGAGAAATTTTATTAAAATAGTAGATTTTGGAAATAATTGAATTCTTGCAACAATTTTATTACATTTTTCTTAAATAATTGCATTATTTTGAGAAATTTTATTAAAATAGTAAATATTGAAAATAATTGAATTTTTGCAACGAATTTTTATAAATTTTTTTTTAAATAATTGAAATCCTTTAAAGAATTTTATTATTTAGAAAAATAATTGAATTCTTGTAACATATTTTATTACGTTTTTTTTAAATAATTGAATTATTTTGAGAAATTTTATTAAAATAGTAGATTTTGAAAATAATTGAGTTCTTGCAACGATTTTTTATAAATTTTTTTTTAAATAATTGAAATCCAGTGTAGAATATTATACCTATATTTATGAAAATAATTGAATTCTTACAACGAAGTTTGTTATATTTTTTTGTAAATAATTGAAATCCTTTAGAGAATTTTACTATTTAGGAAAATAATTGAATTCTTTCAACGTATCTTATTAGATTTTTCTTAAATAATTGAATTATTTTGAGAAATTTTATTAAAATAGTAGATTTTGAAAATAATTGAGTTCTTGCAACGATTTTTTATAAATTTTTTTTTAAATAATTGAAATCCAGTGTAGAATATTATATATTTATAAAAATAATTGAATTCTTACAACGAATTTTATTAAATTTTTTGTAAATAATTGAAATTCTGTGAAGAATTTTATTATTAAGGAAAATAATTGAAATCTTGCCAAGAGTTTAAAATTGTATTAAAAATAATTGAAATCCTATGAAAAATTTTACTACTTCTAAGAATAATTGAATTCTTGTAAAGGATTTTATTAAAATTTTTGTAAATAATTTAATTTTTTTTTTGAAAAATTTTATAATAATTTAAATTATTAGAAAACATGAAGATATGGATTGCTCTGAGTCGAAGACTCGGAGTGATCTATATCTTCCTGTTTTCTAATAATATTTTTAAAAGCTATTGAATTTCAAGAAGGCTTGAATTTGAAATTTTTCGAAAATGTTAATTTCTATAGAATAATAATAAATTAATATTTATTTAAAAAGAAATTTAAGTATTGATGCTTTCGAATAATTTTAACAATTAAAGAAATTCGTAAATGAATCCAATAGAATATATATTTTATCCTTTTTTTTAGAGTTGATCAGAATATTCTTTAGGGTCAGGGAAAAAGTCAAAATTTTTTGCTGGAAATCAGGGAAAAGGAAAATTAATTTTTTGTGGCAACCCTGTATATTGACACTTTAACTGAAAATAATTTTTTTATATTTACCTTGGATTCATCAGGTGTTGTGAATTCTTCTGGAATCTAAAAATTCAAATAGTAAATTAGCAAAGAATTTTTGGCTTCATTATGTATATAAAATATAAATCAATTAATTTACCTTCGTAGTTGATGTATTTTTTTGCTCAGAAGTGTGAACTTTTTTCATCACTTCCAAAAGTCTTTCTACGAAACTGATATTTTCTAGTGAAACTGAAAATTAAATTTCATCAAAAATAAATAGAGGCCTAGAAAATTAATTGTTAAAAATAAATGACTGAGAATGTGAGTATACAATACGATAAAAAGAAATTTATTTTTTCTTTTTATTAAACTTAAAAGACAAATTATTAATTTAATAAAAAAATTGATAACATGTATAGTTAAATTTTAGTTTTCATGTAAATTTAAGAAACTGAAAAACGACTATCAAAAAAATAATTCTTACCACCGCTAGGAAATAAAAATGAAAATTCTTTAGCTCCTAATTCAATTTTTGAATTGCTTGAATTATTTTCATTACAATTATTAGTGCTTTCAGCATAAATTACTCTATTATTATGCTCTTTAATTTCATCATCATTATCATCTTCATCATCATCATTATCATTATCATCTTTATCATCTTTATCATCATTATCATCATTATCATCATTATCATCATTATCATCATTATCATCTTTATCATCATTATCATCTTCATCATCGTCATCGTCTTCATCATCATTATCACTTTTATCATCATTATCATCATTATCATTTTCATCATCATCATTATCGTCATCATCATTATCATTTTTATCATCATTATCATCTTCATCGTCTTCATCATCATCGTAATCAACGTCATTGCGATTAAAACCATCACTATTATGCTCTGCGCAATAATTTTCATCATTCATTTCTTCAGTATCAATGTTATCATCATAAATATAACGCATTGAAGAGTTTGGTGTGCCAGTAGCTAAAATTTTTGGGGCGCAAATAGTTTTATAATCTTTATTTAAACTTTTTGAATTTGTTGTCTGAGAAGATAAATTAAAAGAATTAATGAAAGGGTGTTTCATTAAAGTAGTTTTTTTAGTTTGAATTTGCCCAACAGCTGGTTTCCTTTTTATCGATTCAAACGAATGGTCAACTCCTTTGGTACTCGTTCTCATTTCTAAATTATGAATTGAATTTGAGTTTCTCATTTCCTGATGAAGTTGCTCGCGAGAGTTCTGTTGAGATTTCTGAGGCATGTTTTGTAGTTTAAAAAAACGTTTCTTTTCATCTTTGGCTTCTTTTTCGAATGTTTTTGTATTTTTATCACAAAGATTCTCATTAATAATAACAGGAATTGTCGACAGTTCATGTACAGTTTCTGAAAAAGATTTATATTAAAACTATTGATCTGTTTTAGCAGTAGATCTATGGAATATAAGTTCAATTATCACGCAACTTTTGATTCTAGTTTGGATGTTGTATCTACAGTATAATATATAATTTTTATTGGAATTTTAATTTTTGAGATTAAACACCAAAATTGATTAAAATAATTAATTTTGGTGTTATTTTTTACAATGAATGAAATAGTTCATTAATTTTTTTATAACTATAAAATATGAAGATATCAATAACTCCGAGTCTTCGACTTAGAGTCATCGATTTCTTCATATTTTATAATAGTTAAAGATGACCAAGGAATAAAATTATTATTTTATATTATAAGAATATTATACTTCTTCAAAATTATTTTCATTATTTCAATTCAATTATTATTTTCAAAAATTTTTTAACTACAATTTTACTTTATATCAATTATTTTTAATAATTTTCGAAAAAGTTCTTTGGCAATTTTCAAATCCATTTGTTTGCAATATTCAATTTTACGAAATTTTAATTATTCGTAAATTCTTCAATTAAATAAATATTAGAAAATAAAAACTTCAAATAATATAAAAAAATTCAATTAAACTTTTTCAAAAAAATTAATTTCAAAATTCAATTATTTCTAAAAATTTACGCTTTATTGCTTTTAATATTTAATTATAATCTAAAATTTTAACTGAAATTCATTTTTATGAAATGAAAATCAATTTTTATTAGAAAATTCTAAGAGAATTTAATTATTTAAATGCAAAAGTAAATAATTTATTGAATAATTGAATGTTTCTCAAAATTCAATTCTCATAAAGAATTTTATTAACAAATTTTTAAATAATTGAATTCTTTTGTCGTGGTTTATTAATACTTGCATGAAAATAATTACTTTTTTTCAAGGAATTCAATTACAATTGCGTGAAAAATAATTGAAACGCTGCGATGAGTTTTATTATTAGTAAAAATATAATTGAATTCTTAAGAAGAATTTTTTTCATTTTTTTTTTCATAAAAATATAATATTCTACACGGGATTCCAATTATGTAAACAAAATTTATAAAAATTCGTTGCAAGAATTCAATAATTTTCCTAAATAATAAAATTCTTCATAGGAATTCAATTATTTTTAATACAATTTTAAGTAAATTATTTAAAATTTTAACTGAAATTCATTTTTAAATCAATTTTTATAAGGAAATTCTACGAGAATTTTATTATACTTAAATACAAAAATAAATAATTTATATTAAGTAATTGAGTGTTTCTCAAAATTTAAATTCTCATAATGAATTTTATTAACAAATTTTTAAATAATTGAATTTTTTTGACGAATTTATATAAAAATTTTAAGAATAATCATACATTTTTCGAGAAATTCTATTGAAATTGTATTAAAAATAATTGAAATTCTATGACGAGTTTTATTATTCAGGAAAATATGAAAATAATTGAATTTCTGCAATAATTTCTAACTTCTCTAAAATTAAATTTTTTTCTAGCGTTTTTAACTAAAATTCTTCAATAAATCCATTATTTTTAATAATTTTTAAAAAAATTCTTTGACAATTTTCAAATTCATTCGTTTACAATATTCAATTTTTCAAAATTTCAATTATTCGGAAATTCTGCAATATTAAATTTATATTAAAAAATAAAAACTTGAAATAATTTCAATAAAAATCCTATTAAACTTTTAAAAAGAATTAATTCTACAGAATAGTTTGTCAAAAATTTGAAAAATTAAGAATTTCAATGATTTTAATTTGCAACTTTTTGAAAATTCAATTATTTCTAAAAATTCACGTTATAAATGCTTTTAATATTAAATTATAATCTAAAATTTTCACTGAAATTTATTTTTAAAACCATTTTTATTAGTAAATTCTACGAGAATTCAATTATTTAAATAGAAAAATAAATAATTTATTAATTTCATGTTTCTTGAAATTAAAGTTTCATAAAAAATGTTATCAACAAATTTTTTAATTCATTAAATTCTTTGAACAAATTTTAATAAAATTTTTAAGAATAATTACATTTTTCGAGGAATTCGATTAAAATTGAATTAAAAATAATTGAAATTTTGCAATGAGTTTTATTATTTATAAAAATAATTGAATTCCTAAAAGAATTTTATTATTTATAAAAATAATTGAATCCCTGTAAAAATGTTATTATTTATGAAAATAATTGAATTATTGCGAAGAAATTTATAAAAAAATTTGTAAATAATTGAATTCCTGTAAAATTTTTTATTATTTATGAAAATAATTGAATATTTGCGTAGAAGTTTACTCAAATTTTTTTTAATAATGGAATTCTTTTGGAAAATTTTATTGAACTGGAAGGTATTGAAAATCATTAAATTTTGGAAAACTTTTGAAAATAAGATTGAAATTTTGACAAGAATTTGATTAAAATTTTGTAAAATAATTGAATAACAGAGAACAATTTTACTATTTATAAAGAGAATTGAAATTTTGACGAGAATTTTTTTAAATTTTTAAACACAATTTAATTTAGTAACTATGTTACTAAGTTAGTTGTAAGTTAGTAACTAACTTACTAACTTACTATTCTCCCTGGAGAAGCTAAATTCGTTGAATTTTACAAATCGTTGACTTTGGTGTTTTATTTAAAGTAAAATTTCATTCATAGTTAAAAATAACACCAAAATAGATTATTTTAATCCTTTCTGGTGTTAATTTAATCCTAGAGGGATTAAACTGTCGCATATTATTTTAATCCATTCTGGTGTTATTTTAACACCTCACGTTTTACTGTGTATATGATTATAATAATATGTATATGATTATACATTATAATGATGATGATTTAGAATGTGTACGCGCGCTTTATCATGTTCGTACATAATGCTGGTTACATTATATAAAATAAATGTCACTTACCTCCAAACATTATAATCCTTGCCAGTTCTTTTGTTTTCTTATTATATTGGTCCACCCACTCCAATGTTAATTCATCATTGACTTTCCTCTTAGTGTCATACTTTGGAAGATTTGAGGTTTTCATGATAGACGCAAACTTGCTTTTCACCCACCACACAAGCACAAAATTCTTCTTTTTCGCCATAATTATTATATAAATATTGTTTGAGTTAATTTGGTTGAACACTTTCAGAAAATGAGTACAGGTACTAACTTAGCCGTAGTTGACGAAAAACTGACTGGAAAATGGGTTTTAGCAATTGTGGTAGTTGTGTTTTTACTATAACAAATTTTTGGGTGCAAAATTTGGAAATCCCAAAACTATATTTTGTGTACATTTATATACGTATATAACTCAGTAGCACCAAGCTTATAAGTTTTAGATACCTAGTCTCATTTTTATGAATGCCTTCACTTTTATGGTTTTTCACCGGGAGCGAGAAAGGACTTTTTTGAACAATAGAGATTAAAGTGAGAAATATACAATTGTAGATTTAAGAAAACACAAACTTACAATTTTCTTTTATGGCTACATTATACTGAGCACTCGAATATAATCCTTCAATAAGTATATTTACCTGAGCTAATTTCCTTTTTGGTAAAAATATAAAATTTTTTAATTTTCAAATTTCCGAATTTTGAATATTATATTCATATTCTTAAAATAATTACGATTTTTACCATATTTTGTTTTTCTTAAAAAAGTTAAAATTTTATAAATTTTAATTGCAAAAAAGCGTACTTCCTCGAACTAAATATTACCACTGAGTGAGAAGAATCACCCATATAATTATTTTATGAAAGAGAAACAAAAAAATTAAAATCTATTTCCTTTATGTTCATCTCTAGTTGAAATAACTGTTGGTGTTGAAAATTGTTAGCTTCTGGAGTCATCACAGCGTGAAAAGATAAAACTATAAAATTCAATTGTTTTCATTTGTATTTTCACGAGATGCTCGACTATGACGAGAATTTATCAATCAAAGAATCTCTCTACATGCTTGACATTAAAGTTCAGATAAAGAATTAATTATGAGATAAGAGTGTCAAAGTATGGGCAACAGCTAAAAACAACTTTTCCGAAATCTTTTACTTTTCTATTAAATTTGATACATTTTCCGAACTATGGGAATAGTCTGATTTGAATGATGAAAATTATTGCGCAGAGCATAATAGTGATGGTTTTAATCGCAATGACGTTGATTACGATGATGATGAAGACGATAATGATGAAGATGATAATGATGATAAAAATGATAATGATGATGAAGACGATGATGATGATGAAAATGATAATGATGATAATGATCATAAAGATGATAATGATGATGAAAATGATGATAATGATAATGGTGATGAAGATGATAAAGATGATGAAGATGATAAAGATGATAAAGATGATAAAGATGATGATGAAGATGATAATGATGTTAAAATTAAAGAGCATAATAATAGAGTAATTTATGCAGAAAGCTCTAATAATTGTAATGAAAGTAATTCAAGCAATTCAAAAATTGAATTAGGAGCTAAAGAATTTTCATTTTTATTTCCTGGCGGTGGTAAGAATTATTTTTTGGATAGTCGTTTTTCAGTTTCTTAAATTTACATAAAAACTAAAATTTAACTATACATGTTATCAATTTTTTTATTAAATTAATAATTTGTCTTTTAAGTTTAATAAAAAGAAAAAACTAAATTTCTTTTTATTGTATTGTATACTAACATTCTCAGTCATTTACTTTTAACAATTAATTTTCTAGGCCCCTATTTATTTTTGATGAAATTTAATTTTCAGTTTCACTAGAAAATATCAGTTTCGTAGAAAGACTTTTCACGGAGAGAAGAGTTGCAGTAAATGTGACAGAACGCGTTTAGTAAATCATTTAGTGCACCGGTTAGTGGCGCCAACTGTATGTTTAGTATAATACACTACGACACCTCTCTGTTTAGTAGAATATACTGTTTGCTCAGTGTATCTTACTATCTTACTAAACAGTGCAGTAGATGGCACTGTCTGTACCGTCAGTCCAAACCTAACGATTCTGTTTAGTAGATTTAACTGCCATGTCAGTAGAATCTACTACGCCCTTCTCTCCGTGTTGGAAGTGATGAAAAAAGTTCACACTTCTGAGCAAAAAAATACATCAACTACAAAGGTAAATTAATTGATTTATACTTTATATATACATAATATGAAGCCAAAAATTTTTTGCTAATTTACTATTTGAATTTTTAGATTCCAGAAGAATTCACAACACCTGATGAATCCAAGGTAAATATAAAATAATTATTTTCAGTTAAAGTGTCAATATACAGGGTTGCCACAAAAAATTAATTTTCCTTTTCCCTGATTTCCAGAAAAAATTTTGACTTTCTCCCTGACCCTAAAGAATATTCTGATCAACTCTAAAAAAAAGGATAAAATATATTCTATTGGATTCATTTACGAATTTCTTTAATTGTTAAAATTATTCGAAAGCATCAATACTTAAATTTCTTTTTAAATAAATATTAATTTATTATTATTCTATAGAAATTAACATTTTCGAAAAATTTCAAATTCAAGCCTTTTTAAAATTCAATAGCTTTTAAAAATATTATTAGAAAACAGGAAGATATAGATCACTCCGAGTCTTTGACTCGAAGTGATTAATATCTTCATGTTTTATAATAATTTAAATTTTTATAAAATTTTTCAAAAAAAAAAATATTATTTACAAAAATTTTAATAAAATCCTTTACAAGAATTTAATTATTCTTAGAAGTAATAAAATTTTTCATGGGATTTCAATTATTTTTAATACATTTTAAACTCTTGGCAAGATTTCAATTATTTTCCTAAATAATAAAATTCTTCACAGGATTTCAATTATTTACAAAAAATGTAACTAAGTTAATTATAGTTTCTTTGTTAGTTAGTTGTTAGTATAATCGATGACTTGGTTTTAATTTGAAATAAAATTTCTGTCATAGTATGGTAAGTGCAGGTATAGTCGGGCACTTTCGTGTTTTTTGTCAAATAAATAATAGTGCATTGTAATAATTACTTTAAAGAATACTCTGAACGAATGTGTAAAGTTTATATTTTAGGAAAATAGTGTTATTTTCCAAAATAATTAAACAGGAAATATTTTATTCATTATTTTAAAAATCATAGTGCCCGATTATAGATGCAAACCATTTTCGAGTAGCGCAATAAGTAGCACAAAGTTTTGTAGATAAATAATTAATTATAAATATTATAACTAGGATTTAAATATTATATTAACTTCTAATAAGCTTTAATTAAATTTTCCAACAGGAAATAATTAAAAAATTATCTTTTTTACTTTATAAATCAAAAACGTTTGACTGATGTCCGACTATTGAAAAAAGTGTCCCACTACTGAAGCATTCGTAAATTTTCATTAAAATGCTTATATTTTATTAAATATTCAAGTGTTTGTAACAAATTTATATGATTTTTAATCCTGAAGAACTCTGTGCTTATAAACACAGTAGCTATTTGTACAAAAGCTAAAACATTACATAAAAATTAATGCCAACCGTTGCCCCTACTTTGCCGAACATTTAAATTGACAGATTATAATGATTAATGATTTTTTTATAAGAAATAATAGTATTCACTTTTTTTAATTTATTGTCTGAAGTTGGGTTACCCCTTAAAAAGCGTTAAAATAACAAGAAAATATGCGGTGTGAAAATGAAGACTTTCGATTGTATTTTTGTTGCTGTTCATTATTTAACATTTAGAAACAGATTTAAAAAAGAACAACAACACTTGTTCAACTGTGATAAATCCTAGCATATTAATTTTCAGTTTAGTATTTTTTTAAAAAATTCGCGTATATATGCGCTAAAAATATACGTCCAAGGTTACGTCGATTCGAAATCCTCAAAAATTATATTTGAGCGGCGCCTCAGACACCTGCAACTGCATTCCTGCGGAAGACATGACATATGATCCACGTACGTGGGTTGTAAAAGTGATTACCACAAAAGTGTTGAAAACACACACATACAAATACACAAATATATATTCAAGAAAGGAATGAAGAATTAAAGAAAACTTGCTTATACAGAGAGAACGAGGTACGGGATGATGAAGTTTATATATGGAAAAGGGAAGAAATGTCTTCCTTTCACCACCCCCGCCAGAGTAGACTGAGTACACACTATATCTTTTTCCTACATCTATATCTATATATTCTATTTTCTATCGAGCATATAGGAATGGGAAACGGTCCCTAGACTCTCAATAACTCCTTCCATCAACTCTGAAATATCTATATAGTTGGAGGGGCCTCAACGGAGGTGATGGAGGTGGCGGTTACGGCGACCCAAGAAAGTAACAGTGGCTCTGCACCAAAGAGTATCTCTCGTCAGTGAATGCGAAAGGGATATCGTCTTGTTTTCGCGCCAGTTGGACGCTCCTCTCGTTTCAGTGAACGCGGTCAAGATTTGTGCAATTGTGATTATTTTTTTTTCTGATAAAACTCCATTTCTTTTTCTTGTTCTTTTTTTGCCATCATCAATTTTCGTTGAGGATTGACATTTGTTTTTGAGTTATAACAAATTTTTTTGAAAAACAAGTTTCTTAAATCTCGTGGGGTACACGACATTGTCGTTGAAGATGCAACGTCCTTGAAATTTGTGACGACCTACAGGATATAATCATCCGGCTCTTTATTAGAGCACGACAGTGTTGATCTTGCAGACAAGATGGATTGGGTAAGAGCACCCAGTTATGCTTGTATTTTCTCTTTACTTATTACACACCTTTCCTAAATTCTGCTTATTTCCTTTTGGATTTCTTTTTTTTTCTTTTTTTTTAAAGAGAATTATGTATATTGTAGAAGATAGCAAAAATGTAATATATTTACCGCACACCAAAAAACGAATGGTTTAAATTTTTGGTGTGCGGTAAATATGTTAAAATTATATTTTTACCAAAGTTTGAAATCGTTTAGGAAAATTATGAACTACATTAAAGTAAGAAGATTAAATAAATTAATTAAATAAATAAATAAACTATTTTTGAGCCTAAAACTAGATTATTGCAATTTTAGAATTTAAAAACATTCTCTCAAGGCTAAAATTCAATCAAAATGGGTTTTAATGCAAACGGTTTTAGTCAAAAGTGCGGACTGAAAGTAAAAATTATTTTTTACTGTGAATATAACTTAGAAATAAACAAATGAATTAATATTAAAAAAAACCTTTTCTTTTGGGACAATTGGTAATTGTTTAAAGTGACACACATTGGCTGCAGCATATTTTAGAAAGGTCATATGGGGTAATTGAGAATGTGGGGTAAAGAGGTAATATTGACGCTCACACGAGCGTCTGGTGAACTGGATACATAACTAAATCAGGCCTCAGATTCGATTTTTTTCGACAATTTTCAAAAAATATCTTTTTTCAACTTATATATTTAAACAAAATACGACTTTTTCAAATTTTCTTCTAAATATTGGCAATAAAATTCCATTTTTTTTGGTAAAAAAAACTTATTTTAAAATTTTCAAAATATGAAATGTAACGAAATAAAAATTTTCCTCTAAAGTCTTTTAATTTTTGTACAATAAAATTAAAAATTAAATAAAAATTATAGTAAAGAAAATAAAAATGAAAATAAAATTAAGAATAAATAGAAAAAAAATTTTAATATATATAGATAAAAAATTAAAATAAAAAATTAAATAAATAAAAAATAGACTTAATTCATTGTTAATAATAATTAGATAAATAAGAACAACACAAAATAAATAAATAATAAACAAACAACATTTTCAACAATTTACACCATAAAAACCACTAAAATTTTTTAAATTTAGTTTAAAATATTTTTCAAAATTTATTTTTGTGTTGGACTTTTTTGAAAATATTTTTACGAGTTTCGAAAGTAACAAAAAGTTATCATAGGTCAGAGAAATCAAGAAAGTTAGGAAATTTTTATCCAAAGTAGTAAAACATACCAAATTTTTAGAAATTCTACAAAAATTTACATGCTTTTCGGTGTTTTGTAAAAAATATTAAAAATCTTAAATTTTCATTAAATTTGTTTTTCACTTTCAAAACAAAAAAGAAAAATACAAGAGAAGTTACAGTTGCAATTTTTATTTAAAAAAATCAATTTTTGCATATAAATAATTAAATTCTCAAATAAGGTTCTAAAATTTATTAAAAATAATAATTGATTCAGAGAAGATCTTCAGTAAAAAATTTAGAAAATAATTTATTATTGAAAAAGTTACAGAAAAAATTATTAGAAATAGTTCAATTTCAAAATATTTCAAATAGAAATGTTTGAATTTTTTTTCAAAAATGAATTTTGAATACATTTTTTTCTAAATTTAAAGAATTTATAAAAAGAAAGAACTTGGTTTTTTTTTAAAACTTTCAATTCAAATTTTTTTAAATTACTTGAATCCTTTTGAATAATTTAGTTCTTAAAGAACTTTCTCAAATTTATTAAAAATAGTTAATTTCGAAAAAATTTTAGTAAAAATTCTAGAAAATAATTAAATTCAGTGAAACCTGTCGAAATGCAACTCGATTTTTTTAATTTTATTATCTACAATAAACAATCCTTAAAATAATTGTTTTCTAATTCAATTTTGTAATATTCTTACAATATTCTAGAACTAATTGAAAACAATTCTTGTTGGACTTAATTAATTGAGTTCTGAACGACCTTTTTAATTAAATTTAATTGATTTAGAGAAAAATTTAAGTCAAAATCTCTAAAAAATAATAATTGAATTTTATAAAAGTTGGGTATAGATATTTTTTGAAATAATTAAATTTAAAAAAGTTTGAAATTGAAAATTTTTAATAATTTTATTTCTTGTGAAAAAATAAATAAGTGTTAAACATTATTATTTAACAAAATTACTAAAATTTCGATTGTAATTGAATTTAGAAATTCTGAAAAAATTTGAGGTTCTTCAAAAGTTTTTAATTAAAATTTTGAAAAGATAAATGAATTTCAGAGAATAATATATTAATTTCAAAAATTTTCTAACAGTAATTGAAAAATTTATCAAATTTTATTAAAAAGTAAGAGAATAAAATATCAAATTTTTATGACAATACAAAATTAAAATAAACTACTTTTTCGACTTTTTTGGGCCTTAAAATTGATCCGAGGCCTGCGCTAAATTATTTTTACTGTATAAGTTTAAAGACAGATTATTAATTAAAAAAAAAAATAAAAAAAAATAAAAATAAATAAATTATAAAATAAAAAAAAATAAATAACTGGACCTTCGTAATGAAAAACTAGATATATTATAATTTTTTAAGTCACGTATAAGTTGTCGTCAGTAATAAAAGTAGAATTTCTGGTACTGACCCAACACCGGTATCTGTTAATGTCAATTAATATTTAATTTCAGACTTCATACCAAAAGTTAACTCTGCTAAATTATCAAAAGAAATTTCTAGAAAAATATTTATTACTAATTAAACATTATTGTACTTTCAATTAACTGTAAAAAAATAATCCAATAGTAAAATATTAATATTATTTAAAAACGTGTTTGATTATTTATTCCGAAGTATGAAGAGATGTCAATTTCTCCCAATGTTACCTAATAGAAAATTTATGCAAACGTATTTAAACGTATTTACATAATTCTCTTTTCGTTGAGATAATATTTAAATGATTAATTATTTAAACTAAATGAATTAACATAATATATACCAGGAATTAGAAGCTTCATTTCAAAAGTCTAATTTCTAACTAAATCAAATATTTGATTTATATGCTTATTTACTGTTTCGATTATTGATTCCTAGGGAATTGGTTTATTAGAACAAATTTTCTGCAGTAAAATATGTTAATTATTAAATTAAAATGAAAAAAAAGAAATGTTTACATTTCTTTTTGTAACAATTAAATAAATTTTGGAGAAACATTATCAGCGTACAGTTATTTTTTATATTAGAAATATTACTACTGTTACTTTTAAAAAAGCTAACGCTTATTTATTTTATAGAAATTTAAAATTGAAGGTATACCTTCAATTTTAAATTTCTATAAAATAAATGAGGGATTAATCTAAAGTTATTATTCTACTTATAGTAAAATAATAAATATATAGCAAAACATTTACGAAATACTTTAAACCAATTATAAGTCCATTATAAGAGGCAAAAATTTACTTTATATTTATTTTATACCATTATGGAATCTTCTCGTTTTTTATATTTATGACACTGTTGGATGCTGATAGTAAGAGTGGTTTAACTCCTGTTTCACTCTTTTTCGGAACTACTTTTACTTTTCAAAACGACTTTTACTTCTTATAATATCTACCTATGCTAATTTTTTATTTTATTTAAGTATAGGACCCTTTTTAAAAAAAAAATTCAGTAAAAAGTGAAGTGGAATCGTACAATTTTTTATTACATAAATTATAAAGCATTCTCTTATAAAAAAGTATGTTATAAGTATATCAAAAATATAAGTATCAGTTTAAGAAATACCAGAAATATTATATATATTAATGAGTGATTGAATTTAAAATATAATTTTTTTTGTTCTACCGAAAAAACTGAAAGTTTAAATTTAGGTATTCGAAAAAAATTCAATTTCTTTTTGTGATTTCTCGTTAAAATTCAAAATTCGGAACTTTCAAAACAGTTGGCTTCAATGCTCCAATACTATCAAACAAATGGAATAATTTAATAGGAGTGCTTGAAAAAAATCGAGATTGCGTGGCCTAAATTTTCTTATTTTTAAGTGAAAATGGCATACTTTGAATAATTGTGCTTGATATTTAATTGATCGAATAGGTTACTGCCGTTACTACTTTAGAGAAGCAAAGTTTGTGAGAACTTGTCAATAAAATGAATTTAACTTTGAAAAATTTTAATAACTTTCATCTTTAGAATTTTCTAAGTCCTACTTGAATTTTGCAAATAATATTTCAATTTATAAAGCTTTTTCTATTTTCAAAGTTTGAAAGAAAATTAAAAGCTACAATTTGTTTCTGTTTTTTAGAATTTCCACTACATTTAATTCATCGCTAATACTAGAAATGAAAAATCTTCTAAAAAATTATAGTCTCAAATTCTTTAAAACGATTCAATTATATTTTCAAAAAATATTCGAAATTCAATTATTTTCAATGTCTACTATTTTTATAAAATTTTCTCAAAAGAATTATTATTATTATAATAATTATTATTATAATTATTATTATTATTTATTTAATTAATTAAAAAAAATTGATAAAATTCATCCAAAATTCAATTATTTTCATAAATAATAAAATTTACACATGAATTCAATTAATTTAGAATATCATTTTCAAACAAATTTTGAAAAAATCAATTAATTAACAAAATTTTTATACAATTCTTCACAATAATTCAATTAATTTTACTAATAATAACATTTTTCATGCAAATTCAATTTCTAAAAAAAAATTTTAATAAAATTCTAAGCAAGAATTCAATTATTTTCATAATTAATAAAACTCATCAAAGAATTTCAATTATTTTTAATACTGTAAATTAATTAATTGAAAAATTCAATTATTTTCATAAATAAAGTTTATCTCAAGAATTCAATTATTTAAAATAAAATATTCATAATATTTACTATATTTCGAAAAAATTAATTATTTAAAACAATGTTTATAAAATTCTTATGAAGAATTCAATTATATTTTCAAAATTAAACAAAATTTTTCACAGAAATTCAATTATTTTTAAACATT